CTTTCAAGAGGCTCATAGGCCCCATGAATCTATCAGCAGAATCCCTAGGGGTCCACAGCCCCAAGTGAAAACCCCTGCGTGGGTCCTTAGAGACCTCCCTGTCAGTTGGTAGATGGGGCTGAGAGTGTGAAATAGGCCCACCTACTTTTTTTTAATTTTTAATTTTTTAGAAAGAGAGAGAGTGTCGGCTGCCTGGGTGGCTCAGTTGGTTAAGCGACTGCCTTCGGCTCAGGTCATGATCCCGGAGTTCCGGGATCGAGTCCCACATCGGGCTCCCGGCTCAGCGGGGAGCCTGCTTCTCCCTCTGACCCTCTCCCCTCTCATGTGCTCTCTCTCTCTCTTTCAAATAAATAAATCAAACAAAAAGAAAAACCTCAAAATTAAAAAAAAAAGAGAGAGATAGTGTGTAAGCACCAGGTGAAGAGCAGAGGGAGAGGGAGAAAGAGAATCTCAGACTCCCCGCTGAGTGAGGAACCCGCCATGAGGCTTGATCTCATGACCCTGAGACCATGACCTGAGCCGAAATCAAGAGCTGGACGCTTAGCCGACCGAGCCACCCAGGCGCCCCCCACCTACTTCTATAAAGCTCTGGCTTCCATTAAGTCCACTGGCCAAAATGACCTGACCCAGCCAATGGTGCCAGGGGAGGCTGGGAGATGTACTGTGGGGAGGTCTGCAGCAGTCAGCGGACAGCTTGGCCCAGCTCTGACACGGTGTGCCCAACGATTGCGCTGCTTCTCACAGAGATATTTTTATAGTTTAATCCTCCCATGGACCATTTACTCCCTACCTTCCAACCTTGCTCATGCCATTCCTTCCTCCTCTCTTCTTTCCCTCCAAATTCTGCCCAGTTTCTCAGAGCCCCGCTGAGGGTCCGTCTCCTCCAGGATGCTGTCTCTGGCCCCTTTGAGCTCATAATGCCCACCCTTCATTTAGCCTTGTTCTGTGACGGCTTCTTTTTGTTAGCATATAATGAAATGGGTCTGATTTTTTTTTTAAGATTTTATTTATTTATTTCAGAGAGAGAGACAGAGTTAGCGAGGAGAGCGTGAGCGGGGAGGAGAGGGAGAAGCAGGCTCTCCACGGAGCAGGGACCCCGACCTGGGGCTCGATCCCAGGACCCTGAGGTCGTGACCTGAGTTGAAGGCAGACGCTTAACCGCCTAACCAGCTGAACCACTCGGGCGGGCGCCCCTGGGTCTGATTTTATGTCCCACTGGATTGTGTCTTCCACAGACCCCCAGTGTGTCTGCTCTGTCGTCCTGTGCCCCTGCCACCTGGCACACAGCCCTCAGCGTCCCTTCCAGGGTGGCCAGTGCATGTCCACTCATTTACGGCAGGCTCAGGACCACAGGGCTGATGAGGAAATGCGGGCTCTGAGAGTAGAGGAAGTGGCCCAGACTCCGGACTGTGGCGCAGCTTGACCTTGGCTCTGAGTCTTCAGCTCCAAAGCTGAGGCCCATTCTGTTCCGGGGACAACCGCGGTACCTCTGGCAGCACAGAGACAGGTCCTGGCTTGATGCCACCGGTGGCTGTGGGGTTTGTGAGCGGCCACAGGCCCCTCAGCACGGAGCAGAGCTGGTGCTCTGCAGATGTGTGTGCGCGTGGGTTTATGAGCCGAGGTAAGAGAAGCTTCTGTGCTCCCCGCCACCTGGCCCCAACGATGATTTTTCCCTCTTCCCTCGACAGCCAACCAGGCCCCTCATATCATGGGGAGATTTAGGCACGAGAAAGACAGCAGAGTAGAAGGGGGCACGCCCTGTCGCCTGGCTGCATACACCCCTCACCCCTGGATGCAGTCGTGGCTGAACTGAGGTAGCCCCACACTCCAGGGGACCGAGGCCAGTCCCACCCAGCCAAGTGTGGGCAGCCACTCTCTCTCCGCTTCTGCCCTGGCTGATGGGGGCTCCCACATTCTGAATTCCTTATTCAGCTGCAGACACCAAGCCACTTTAGCTTCCCTTAATTAACTAAAATATCACATAAGAATCATTCTCTGATTTAACATTCAGGAGGCCCTGGCAAAGGCTGGGAACAAGGAAATTCATTAGAGGGGACAGTTCACCCTCGATTGATTTGCGCATTCTTATTAATTTTTCCTGTGTCATCCAGCCCTGGGGGAGAGGGGAGGGCAATGTTTTTTTAAAGATATAGGGTTAATTTTACCACGAAATCTGAAGGAAAAAAAAATCCATTTTGACTAAAAATCAGACTCTTTTGGGAAAGGGGTACATTTAGGATTGAACACTGGCTTTCGAATGATCTCCTTTAAGGCCAGTTATAACTCAGTTGACAACAGAAGACTGAGACTCAGGCTGCTCACCCCCTGCAGCATCAGGTCTAACCTCCTCCGATGGCATTTAGGGGTGTGGCCTAAAACCGCTCTCCCCCACCCACCACTACAGCTCCTGGCAACCACCACAGGTCACAACTCCCCTTCACAAGCTACCCTGCACCTCTCCTTCCCTGCTCCCTCTGCATGCTGTTTCCCTAGCCCAGAATCCCCCCTACCCACTCCAATCCCCAGCTCAGATGCCTCCTCTTCCAGGAAGTCTTCTCAGATTTCCCCCTGCTCTGATCACCTTGTGCTGCCTGGCAGGACTGCAACCCATCCCACTCCTCCCCACTTGAGTCTCACCCTCCTTCGTATTGATTTCTGCACCCTTCTGGCCTCCGTGTGCATGTGGGAAATGACAAGAGGGCGCAGTTCTCTGAGTCAATGAAATGCTGGGATGTGTATCCAGTGGGAGACACAAGTTCTGAGGGAGTTAGAAGGATCAGGCCAGCAGGAGGCGATAAGGACTAGTTAAAAATTGTGAGTCAGGTGTCCAGGTGGCGCTGTGACCAGAACTCAGGTGTCGGGGGGAAGGAGCGTTCAGGCTGAAGTAGCTGAGGTGGGCAAGAAAAGGGCAAGATGTGTCAGGGCTGGTGGAGGCATATTGGTGGGCCTCGCTCCCACCCACAGCAGTGTTCCAAGGACAGAGAGACCACGAAACCACGAAGACTGTGTTTCAAAACATTTATTTTCAGGTGCAGGGGTCATGTGACATCATCACATTTATGACAATAGGGCAGAAAACACAGGCTCTGGGGGCACCATGTTTCTGAAGGGCAAGAACCATAGCACAGTGCTCTCAGCCCCTGGAGGGGTCTGGGGCTCTCCTGGTTGAAAAGTCATGAGGTTGGAACAATCCTGTTTTTCTGCCTTTTTGGTTTTGGTGAAAATTTCGGAGAGTGCTCATGATGATGATGATGATGATGATTTGCACATCCTTACTCTGTGAACCCAGCCTCCTGTGGTTTCGATGTTCAGCTCTGTCACCCAAGTGCTCCATCTGCCCTGCTCTCTGTGTCTAGACCCAGCTCTCCAACTGTGACTGGGCTCATGTGAGGTGGGTCAAGTGATTTTCACTGAATGTGCCTATCAGCAGATGCAGGATTGTTCTAGTATCTTCTCTAGGGCTGTTACATCCCTGCTTCTCCTGACAGTTTCACTAAGCGCCTTACCAAGCAAGTCTTCTCCTAACTATTCACACCCCAGAAGACTTAGCTGCAGACCTTGGATACCGAAACCCCTGTGGTGGGGCAGGGGGCAGAGTGGGGAGGGCGTCAGTGGTGCTGAGTAGGGGGGTTGTGAGCGGGTCCCCTGCAGCCCCAGCCTCCAACAGACAAGCACAGCTTCCAGTTAACCAGTTTCAGCTCCGATCTTATTCAAAGAAAGGGGACCCGATGTTTTAAAGTTTGCAAACCACCCATCTAGTTTCATTCCCTTGTTATTCAGATGAGGAAAACTGTGGTCCGGAAGGTGAAGGGAATTTGCTTGGAGTCAGGCAGCAAGCCAGGGATGAATTCCCAAATGGACCTCATGTTTCCAGATTCCCAGGCCATGCTCCTGCCATGTAGTACATGAAGGTGATACTACCCCACTATGTCAGATATGTAATGGCCAGGCTCAAAGGCAGAAAATTTAATTCCAAAAAGGACTCCAGAATGTAATGCTCAGCGGGAGTGGCCTGGGAGTGTGCTGTAGAAGCTGAGCGGGACCTTGGTAAGATCCCTGGGGCCCCTGGAACTGGCAGCACCTTCCTTTCTGCAGCTAGGAGATTACCTGAGCAGCAGCGTGGGAAGGGTGCCAACTAGGGCCAGGTGCCCTGAGTTCCGGTCCTTCTCGGCGCCTCTCTCTCAGAGCCTGGTTTCTTCCTCTGCAAAGGGGGAGGGGCATCTATGCTTCACCCTGCCTGCCGTCCTGGAGTTGGAGTGACCACAGATGGAAAAGCGCTTCATGAACTTGAAGGACGAGACACAAATGAGATCCCAATTCTGACTTAAAAACAAATTTGAATCACCTAGGGTGTCTATTTTTTCACCCAGATATTAAGTACTCTTCTTGAAAGAAAGAGAGAAAGAAAGAAAAGAAAAGAAAAGAAAAGAAAAGAAAAGAAAAGAAAAGAAAAGAAAGCCTTATTCCTGGGTAAGGTCAGAACCTCTCCAAGTAAAAGGTATTCTACTACACTCTAATCCCACAGCCCAGAGAAAGAAGCCTCTGACCCCCTTTCCTCAGTTTGATGCCCAGGAGCCAGGGGTCCACTGCCCACCTGGTTAGAGAATGCTGGGCTTGCTGACAAGGGGACATCTTGGTCCCCAAACACCCAGCCAAGGACTACATCTCTTCAAGGTGGGAAAATGGCAGGGAAGGAAGAGTTATGGCCAGCTCCACAGCCTAGCATGAAGCCACGGCAACTGTTTTTGAGGGAACTTAAAAGGGATGCTAAGACTATACCTCCCCTATTTTTCCCACAGGGCCATCTTACTCTAGGATGGCAGGGCTCAACGGGACACGGGTAACCTCTAGTCGAAACGCCACATTCCCAGGTGAGAAGACAAAGGCCCAGAGAGGGGACACACAGCAAGTCAGAGAGCAGGCAGAGGACAGCGTGACCCTACTCCCTCCTCCTACAACACACGCTAATCAGTCACAGAGAAATGAGGTAAAGACTCATGGCTGACACAGGCCTTCTTGTTCCAGCCCTTCAGAATTACAAACATACCACCAGGTGACCTTCCCTGGGAGAGGTTAGGTTAAAAAAGAATTCTCACAGAGCAATTCCTTTCAAAAGTATAAAAAAGCCACATGCAGTCTGGTTTCCCAATGCTTGTCCTGCTAAAAACTACATCTGCATAGGAATCTAGTTTGCATCTAATTTGTAAAAACATACAAAAGTGGTCATCTACAAACACAGTTTCTCCAACTCTTCACAAGGAAAACGATGCATGACTTGACTCTTCCAACATCCTGTCATCAATGTTTCTAAGACCCTAGAAGGAAAGAGAAACGGATGAGAGGGAAGAAGTCTGCTCTGTCACAATCAACTATGTGGTGAATGGAAGGTGGGGGAAATGATCCTTAACCCTAAATCTTCCTGGCCAGGGGTGGTGCTGGTGAGGAGCAGAGGGGCCCTGGGGTGTCCACGAAGTTCATGTGGGACCACTGGGTGCACATTTCAAGGAGGCAGCATCCAGCTTAATACAAGGAAGAACTTTCAACTACTGGAAAACCCAAAGATGAATGTCTGGTGGTAGTGAGCTCCCCAACACTGGAGGTTAGCAAGCAAGAGCTGGCCAGTACTGCATGTTGTAGGGGGAACTGAAGACCTGTGTGGCAATGGTCTTAAAATTCCATGGTTCTTTGTGGCTCTCTTTTGAAAACTCCTCTATAACAGACTACATTCATAGCCTGGTATCATTGTGTGTGTGTTTTTAAAAAATATGTATACTTAAAAATTATATACATACTTAAAACAAATATGTATACAGACACACATACATAGGTACATACATATATATGCATACAAGTGTGCAAGACAAAAGTCCTGATACATGATATAACAACTATAAAAAGCAAAGAGTATCAGGAAGGCAACTTAAAGAACCGTCTCCTACCTGCACTCCTACTTGAGGATTTCCCACCTTCTATTTCCGTGCCTGTTTCCAGGAGCTCTAACTACTTCATCCACCATGCCACTTCCTCAGCGACATCTCCCTTGCTTTCCCCAGTTCTAAGCCACTTCTCTCGCCTCAAACTCGCACACTCCCCTCGCTTCCTTAACACTGCTCCTCTTGTATTTTTTTTTTAAAGATTTATTTATTTTTGCGAGAGCGAATGCGTGTGAGCACGAGCGGGGGTAGGGGGCAGAGGGAGAAGCAGACTTCCCGCTGAGCAGGAAGCCTGATATGTCAGATGACTTGATCGCACGACCTTGGGATCATGACCTGAGACGAAATCAAGAGTTGGCCACCTAACCAACTGAGCCACCCAGGCGCCCCTGGAGCAGAATCTTTAAATGCGATTGTCTGCCTGGCTCAGTGGCTCGCTCATCCCCTCGGCCACAAGAATGGACCTTCGGCACACTGGGATTGCTCCTCCGGCTGGATCCCAGTGTGACAAGACACATGGAGCAGAGCCACAGCCAGCCGACCGGCCAAATGACAAGGAATGTGAGCAAGACAGAAATGTTGGTGGCTGTGCATCAGCCAGCTCCAGGGGTTGTCATGCAGCCCAAGCTGGCTAATTAAGGGGCTCGTTTCCTAGGTTCATGGCCGACCTGTCGGCAGGGGACAGATGCAACCCCAGCTCTCACCCGGGGGGGGCTATAAGGACGAGGAGCCGAGGGGCCCGGGGAGACGCAGATTCTCCCGGACACGCTGCTAAGCACGTGCGGTGCTGAGGACAGGGAGGTGAGGCCTGGACACAGCAGAGCTGCCAACGAGGACAAACCTGGGGACAGCAAATGGAGCTCAGACTGTCTCCTTTTCACACGGGTGCTGTCACCGTGACGTCTGCTCTCTCTCTGCCCCCTCTAGGACTTGAAGGAAACATTCTGTCCAGCTTCAGAAACAGAAAGAGACAACTGGTCTTTACCACCTAAGGACACCCGCAACGTTCACAGCTCCTGTGTTTGCACACCAGGTGGGAGGCCCAGAGTGGTACGAGTGTTGAACATACTAGAGCTTCTACCTGCTAACTGTAGTATGTTCCTAACTCCTGTTTGGTATTCCTCTGGTTTCGATTTATGTATTTTTTTTCTTTGTTACTATACATCTTATAAGCCATCTCAATCTCTTGTGACACAGGTGTATAAATATATGATATGTACCTGACTCCATCACATGCGGTCATCTGGAGCTGGGAGGTGGGGGGCTGTGTATTTACTCAGATCTAGAACTGTCACGGTGCCGTGGGACTGGGCCTCCCCAACCGCGTTGGCTGAATGGCACAGGTACACTCCCTCATCTTCCTTTCTCAGAGGGTTGATCTAGAAATAAAACAGGGAAGTTTATGGCACGGCAAAACCACTTCCTTATTTAGTTCCTAAGATATGTCTGAACACTTATTTTTCAAAATAAGATAGGGCTCATTATTCCTCTTCTTGCCTTGATTGCCAAGAAAGAGTTAAATTTTCTTCTCTGTACCCTCTCTATGGTGGCTCTCATTTCAATGTTTCCTTTGCATTCCTACCTTTTACTGTGAGCTACCTGGTCCTTTTATTGAAGGTGACAGGTATACCTCACAAGGAAAATACTGCAAGCTAAACAAAAATCGACTGACCAAGGAATGGCCCACAAGTGCTCCCAATGGAGACAGCCTTACGAAACAACAGCAGAGAGAACATTTCCCCCTACGCCTTCTTGTAATCAAGAGGGGAAGGTGCTTGATTTGAAAAAGCCACACGGACCCGACTGCATTCCGAGTCTCTGAGCTGGGCAGAGAAGTCACCAACCCTGGCACAGACGGGAGTGAAGTGAGGCGGACACCGACCGGCCCTCCTCAAGCAGCCTGTTCTCATGCCCCCCGCAGAGCACACCCACACCAGCTCCCTCCTCTCTTGGCACAACAACCCCTGTCCACCGTGCGGCCTGGGCAGGGGGTATGCACACCATCTCGTGTTGAACTCACGCCGATTGCGGGGCACGGGGGAGCGCTGTTACCCTATTACAGGAGACTGGCAGTGAGTCACAGACTGTTGGGTCACAGGGCCCTCGGACCATGTGCAGTCCAAGGCCCTCCTCCTCCGACTGTGGACACTGAAGCTCAAGGGGCAGAGTGACTAGCCCAACATGGATCCCTGTCCCTCCCTCACTCTTTCAAACACATGGCATTCCGGTGACTTAGTTAAGCTGAAGCAAGTGGTGCAGCAGAACCCCGAGAGGGGACACCAATGTGCCGGCCATCTTCCCTCTTTCTCAGCCCCGTGTTCTTGGGCCGAGTGTAGTAGTCTCCTATGGCTGCTATAACTAATTACCACACACTTCATGGCTTAAAAACAACACACATTTATTACATTTGGTGCCTTTTTTTAAAAAAAATTTATTAAATATTTTATTTTTAAGCAATCTCTATGCCCAACGTGAGGCTCGAACTCACAACCCCAAGATCAGGAGTCACACACGCTCTACCGACTGAGCCAGCCAGGCGCCCCTATATTTAGTTCTTGAGGTCAGAAGTCCCAGTGGGAATCAGGGGGCTAAAATGAAGCTATTGGCAGAGCTGCCTTCTTCCTAGGGGCCCCAGGGGAAAATCCATTTCTTGCCTTTCCCATTCTAGAGGCTGCCGGCATTCTTGGGCTTGTGGTCCTCTTCTTCCATCTTCAAAGCCGGAGATGGTGGCTCGTGTCCTTCCCATGCTGCCATCTCTCTGGCTCCTTCCCTCCTGCCTCCCTCTTCAGCATTTAAAGTGCTCTTGTGATTCTACTGGGCCCACCCAGGTAATCCAAGATAACTTCCTTATTAAAGTCAGCTGATGAGCACCCTTAGCTCCATCTGCAACCTTAATCCCCTCTTGCATATAACAGATCCACAGACTCCAGGGATTAGGACATGGACATCTTTCTGGGGCCATAACTCTGACCACCACTGAAGATCAGTTATGCTCTCGGGGGTTAAACTTCCCTCACAGTTAGTGTAGGGTCCAACCAAAAAGGGATAAGAACAGCTTTGAAATGTGTAATGTGCTATAGAAATATAAAGGGTGCTTTGTAACGGCCAGGCAATAACAGCCACTAATCCTAAACAAATGAGATACCCACCAAAATCCAGGCTGTGGCCTCGTGGTCAGAAGGGCCCCCTCGCACCTGGACAGCGATATTGACGTGGTCACCAGGCAGGTCCTCCAGCACCTGGGTACCCTCAGGAGACTGTGTGACCTACAGAGGACAGAACAACCAGGAGTGGTTTAGAAACAGCATGTCTGGGTAAGAACCACACCGCAGACATCCTTGCTGTTTTCATCCTCCTACTGACTCAAAGGCCAAACCCTGGCACCTCTTATTCCTATTAAAACGTCAGTGGCTTCATAAACCTCAATGTCTGTGCAGACAGCACCCCCTGCTGGACAGTAACGATGCAGACACCACCACCATCTCAGAGGAGGGTCAGAGCTTCCCCACCCTTCTGGGGGCTGTGGACATAGGTGGACAAGATATGCTGTGATCCACGCCAGTCTTTCAAAAATTGATCTGCAGGAAGATCTAGTTTTGGAATGGGATTTGGATAGTCTTTCTAAAACCCAGATCCTGTGAAGTAGGCTCTAACTTCGTTCCAGTGGATCCAGGCTAGATAAATAGATGAACTTTCTGGACAGCTAAGTGGCTGAGGGAGCAAATGGCACAAGGAAGGATGGCGACTCCCCTGCTCTGGGCAGAGCTTTGGGGTAAAAGTTTTGAGGCATAAACCTGAAGGCAGAAGAGTGACTTGTAAGATCTCTTTTTAAAACCCTCTGCTCCACATATAATCACACACACATAAACACACAAGAAACACCTCTCTCTCACACACTCATGCATGCACGCACACGGAATTCTTGGACGTAAATACCTTCCTCCATGTGACGACAGGGGTGGGCACAGCCCTCACCTCACAGGACAGGTTCACCTGGGCCCCGGGGACGTTGTGAACACTCCGGGGTGGCGTGACGACCAGAGGAGCTGGAGGAAGAAGACAAGGGATCACAACCTTTACCCTGCCAGGTCCCAAGCACGCCACGTCTAAAATCCCCGGCCTGCAGAGAGCCCGCGGGGACAGTCCCCCGTGAGGGGGGCCGCAGCAGAGGAAAGCTCTCCATGCACAAAGAGCACACTCGGAGGTGGCGAATCATGTTTCCCTCAGACCTGGGGGGATGCCTCCATGCTTCCTCATCCATCGCCTTTGTTCTACCAACAGGAAAGCTGGGATCTGGAGGGGCAAGGCGGCTTCCCAAACCGCCCGCCACGTCTGTGGCAGAGCCTGGGTCTCGTCACACTCCCGCCCAGGACCCCGGGGGCCATCTGCTTGCAGCTCAGCTCCTTGAGACACGGAGCGGCTCAGGAGGGGCTGGTGTCACCTCACCAACGCCAAGTCTTCGAACAGATGGGCTTTCCTCCTTGCACACGGCGCGGTTCAAAGAACAGGCCCCGCAGAACAGCTGCCAGCGCACCGCCCAGACCCCCCCCCCGCCCCCCCTGCGGGCCGGGCCAGACGCTCGTTTGCATATCACAGACCCGCAGGCTCTGCGCGGCCTCCCCTCCACCCCCCCAAGCCGGCACTAGGTCTGGGGACACAGGAGAGAGGGGTGGCTCCCTGGATGGCCATCCCCAGGCAGGGCGGCTCTAGGCTGCCAGCACATTACAGAAAGGCGAGGGAGGGTGTGGGCTGGCTGGGACGGCGGCCTTGCAGGCATCTGAGTTAGAAGTGCTTAGCTGACACCCCACACCGCTCTCCTCCCGGTGCCCCCCACTTGCTCTGCTCACGCTGGCGCTCCAAGAATCAAGTCCGGCCACCTCAGCGTTCAGGCCCTCCACCCGGTCCCTCAGTGGACCTGCCTGCACCACATGGAAGGCACACCCCAACCCCACAGGGGATGCTCCCCCTCCTGCAGGACCTAGAGGGTTAGGGTATGTGTCCTAGTCCAGGACCAGGGCGTCTGCGCCTGTGTGAGCTGCTGGAGGACAGCTTGCTGGCAGTCCAGGTGTGCCCGCCGGCCTCTGCTGGACCAGACAGCAGCAGGGCCTGTCCCTGCATCTAGTCCAGCAGTGTCTTGGACAAGATGCAGTGGGGAGGCCTCGGGGGGGGGGGTCCTCCCCGCTTGGGTTTGCTCATCTGTAAGATGGGGATAATACCCCCTGCTCCCTGGGCTGTTGAGCTGATCTTACCATGGGATGAGTGTGAGCGCAATGGTTTAAGTTAACAGGACACGTAAGCAGGCCCCGGAAGCACGTCTGCTAAACAGATGACTAGATGAAGAAACACATGGCAAACAAAGAGCAAACACATTGCTTCTCCGGCCATCAAACTGCAGGGTCTACGCTCTTGGGACTTTGCCGGTGACTCACGGATGGTCCTGGAGAGGGAAGGGGCCTTTGCCTGCCTGGGTCCAGCTGCAATAAAAAAAGAGAGCAAAGGGAGGGAGGGAGAAGGCTGCAGGAGGAGGGACAGAGGCAGGAGTGAGAGCGCACAGAAATAAGACCTGTCTGGCCCCTCCAGACAGAACCTGTCAAGCTGGTGCCAAAAAAGGTCTCTGGAAAATTGTCTCAGAACCACAGAGCCTCAAACCAGAGGGGCCCTACTCCCCAAGATCCTGTGCCTGATCACCTGATGTGTTCAGCTAGCATCCACTTGCATGCCTCCACCGACGGAGAGCTCACTACCTACAGAGCCAGGCCTTTCCATCCTAGGAGAGCTCTGCTGGTAAGGAAGCTTGTCTTCCTTCATCTGGAGCTAAAACTTACCTCCCTGTAGCCCCCACACGTTGATCCCGGGGCTACGTCCCTGGAGCCCTACAGCTCCCCGGGTGCCCCATTGGCCTCCACTGAATACAGGCACTATGCTCCCTACCCCCAGGTTGCTCTCTTCCCCCTTAGCCTGATCAGCCCACTCCTTCAGTTGTGCCCATTTGATTGCCCCCCAAGCACATGGCTCTACCCACAACACTGAGTGTAGCCAAAGTCCTCTATTGAACCAAGGTCCTAAGGCTTCTAACATTGCCCAAAGCATCCCAGACACCTGCAAACTGCCACAAAGAACCACAACACCCCTGCTCTCCAGCAGGGGCCCCATCTGCAACATGACAAAGAGTCTAATTTATCCACACCCTCCTGCCAACATCCCCTCCCCGGGAGCCCAACAGTCCTCAAATGGCTCGCTGGGGGAACAATCAGAACCGTATCTTATTCCAAAGCCCTCAATGGATTCCAGAGGAACACTCAATCAACATGTTTTACTTTCATTCATGTAAAGTCATAAATTTTAAATGAGATTTCATCAATCCCTTTCAGGCCTAAATGAATAAACCCGTAAATCACATTTCAACATTCTCTCTCCTAGAATTTCCCTCTCCCTCTTTTAAAGACTGTCTTGGAAATGCTGTCTTTGCTACTGATCTTGTGGCAGAAAATATTACTTCTTTGACAAAAGAGCCCCCAGCTTTCGATGATAAAGTAACATTCAAATTTTTATTTATTTTAAAATTGACATACAGCACATTTACTCCTTGTGGAGTGCAGCTCTTGAGTTTTGACAAATGCCTACAGTCATGTAACCACCTAGAAGAGTCCAGTTCAACTCAAAAAATTTCTTCATGCTTCTCTTTGTCCTAGTAATCTGGTTTTAATGTTAACATATCTGCTTTTTTTAAATAATTTTTTATTGTTATGTTAATCACCATACATTACATCATTAGTTTTTGATGTAGTGTTCCATGATTCATTGTTTGTGTATAACACCCAGTGCTCCAAACAGAACGTGCCCCCCTCAAACCCATCACCAGGCTAACCCATCCCCCCACCCCCCTCCCCTCTAGAACCCTCAGTCTGTTTTTCTGAGTGCATTGTCTCTAATGGTTGTCTCCCCCTCCGACTTACCCCCCTTCATTCTTCCCCTCCTGCTATCTTCTTTTTTTTTTTTTCTTAACCTTCCAGAAAGTGGTCGCTTTTCTGTTCAGAGTGTTGTTACTATTCTTATCTTCGATCTCCTGTTGAGTTCGTAGGTGTTCAGAATGGTTTGATCCCTATTCAGCTGAATTCCTGAGACCAGACGAAATCCAGGTCTCCTACTTCTCTGCCATCTTGCTCCGCCCCCCAACATATCCGCTTTTAAATTTAAAATATTTTCATCCATAATAGCTCTTCATAATCAGCCATCATCATCATCACGGTAATAATGGTAATAAATGCCACCACCTGATTCTGAGAGCTCGCTGTGTGCTAGGCGCTCTAGTCTGCTCACAGGGATTAACCCATTCCATCTTTCCAGCAATTTCACCAGCGGTGCAGCTAGGTAGGGTTACTTGGGTTTAGATGGTTGGGCAAGGCTTTGAGCCCAGGCTCTGGCTCTGAGCTTTGTTTGTCCCAAAGAGTCTTGTCTTCTACTTAGACGACACGTCCATGTACACTGCTCCTTTCGTCCCTATACCTACCCTGCTGAGCAGGTGCTTTTATCCCCATTTTACAGACGAGAAAACCAAGACTCGGAAAGGTGAAGTGCCCGGAGGAACAGGGACTCAAACCCAGGGACCCTGATTCCATCAACACTTCACTGAGTTTTAAAGTGAAATATTTGTTGTCTGTATGGACTCCATTCCAGAACAAGAAAGAGTTCTTTAGGGACTGTGTTGGGGAGCCCCAAGACAATCCCCAGGTTCAGTGATTTGCTAGGAGGACTCACAGGCCTCAGCAGTCTGACTCACAGCTGTGATTTATTACCGTGACAGGAGACAAAGCAAACAGTAAAGGGAAAAGTGGCTCATGGGGTAAAGACAGGGAAAACCAGGCGGGGGCTTCCACGTGCCTCTCCCAGCGGATCACACGGGACACCCTGAATGTCCCAGCAGTGCCTGGTGACAACACGTGTGAGACGCCATCCGAGGGAGGCTCACTGGAGACTTCGAGCCCGGGATTTTTGTTGGGGGCAGGTCACCTGGGCCCCCTCTGCTCAGCACGTACCAAAATTCCAGGGTCCCGGAAGGAAAGCAGGCGTGCGGCATAAACCGTGGTGTTGGCCCAAACAGCTCAGGCCAAGAGTCACTCTTATCCCTGAGGGGACGGCGGGAACTGTCCCCAAATCCAAGTTCCCAGACGCCAGCCAAGGGTGAATCTGGCCAGCAGGCCCTTCAAAGGACAGTCTCAGGCCTGCTCTGTTTACTCTTCTACACAGGAAAAAACCCTCCAGACATCACCCCCCAAGGAGCGGTTCTCCTGAAGACACTATTAAATGGGTGATACATTGTTTATACTCACAGGACATTCCCAATCCTACTGTCCCCAAGGGCTCATTTGAATGTGGTGCTGGGGTACTCAACGTCATGACTACCACGGGCAGGACGGATCCAGGTTCAAATCCTGTCTCTGCCACACCAATGCTGTGACGCGGTCTCAGTTTCTTCTTCTTTAAAATGGGCACGGGCATCAGTTCTCTTTCCTCGCCCCTCCTCTCTCCTCCCCTCTCCATAGGCTATTGGGAGGAAGAGCTACAAGACCCCTTGCAAACTGTAAGAGGCTTCCACAGAGACCCGAGGACCTGGCAGGCTGTGCTACCCCATGGGGAATCTCCTCGAAGCGCTGGGCCGGCTCCAGAGCCCCCACTGGCCTCCGGGGAGCCGGCCTCTGGGTGGGCCCTGCCCGGAGGCTCCAAAGGCCACGCCTGCAGCCCTCATTCTGGTGAGCCCGGGGCACAGCCTGTTGCCTCACTAGTGCCAGAACTGCCACACTTTCTTTTCTACCTACGTGTGACATGAGCAACGTGGATTTCAAGAGGGAGGATGGTGCCTGGTGGGCCCAGTCTGTGGTCTCTCTAGCTCTTCCTTGCTAAATACTTTGTTTCCTTCTGTCCATGCCAGCAACAGCTCTAGAAAAGCTGGGAGGGCACCAATCCACCCAGCAGGTAACAGAACAGTCACCCACATGTGCACCCACGGAGGTAGCGCTGGGGTCCCGGTGCCAACCACGGGAGCTTGGGCAAGCCGTTAACCATTTCCTCCTGGTCTCTGTCCCCCCGCCCCCACATCCTCTGGGGTGAAGGGAGAGGATGAATGTGACTGAATTACTGACCGTGCGGGTCTGTACGAGTGAGAGGGGCCGACAGCATTATTATAGTGTGTGGTGATCTGTCTCCCCCCGCAACTGTCAACTAGATATGTCCTTGACGCCCAGAATGAAAGATCTTCCCAAATGCCTCTGAGGTTTCTTTCAAGTTAATGGTGCCCAGGAAAGAAAGAATATCAAAAGTCATCCCCCAGGATCCCATCTGTTTGTACAAAGAAGTGCACAACCAAAGAGTTTAATCACCAACGCATTGAGCAGCCCTGATAATTTATGCTAATAGTCATGTTCCGATGTGGAAGGAGAAACAGCTTAATACGGCTCCCTGCAGCCTGTGCCTCACAGCCCCTCCCTCGGCATGAAAGGCTTTTGAGCAGAGGACCCCCTTCTTTGTCCCTCTCACAAAGTGGCACTCACAGCCTCTCCTGGTTACCTGGTAACACACGCCTCGCACAGACTGCGGTGGAGCTGGGATGTCAACGGAGGGAGGTGAATTTTCTAAGATTCAGGATCTCAAGAGCTCACTGAAGCTTTGGGGGGGGGCCCGGGGTCCTGGTGGGTATTGGCCCGGGACCCTGTTCCTACCTAATCTAGCATTCAAAACATGCTCTCAACCGGCTGCCTGCAGGATCCCAGCCCCCTCCCCATGTTAGCCACCGGTCAGGGGCACGCACGGAACAACACAGCCTTTTAAAATAATGACAGCAGCAACAAGAACGCCATGCCACCTTACAGCAAAGAAAGGAAACCAGTAACTTAGTACGGAGCGAAGCTGCATCCCTCAGCCTGGCACTCGAGGCTGGCCCTGGCCCTGCCCCAAGCCGCTCTGGGCCTCGCCCCTTTCCCCAACCATCCCCTTGTGGAGGTGCCCAGCAGCCCAGGGTCACACCCACCACAGGATCTCCCCTACCTGCTCTTACCTCCCCGTCCCCCTTTCTCCCCGAGAATTTTCTACAAGTCCTTCAAGGTTCCGCTCAGATACTTTCCCTTCTGTGAAGCCATCCCCGTTCCTCTCAGGAGCTGTCCCCCAGTGCCAAGCAGGGGGGCCAGCAACAAGCCTTGGGGGGAAATCAGGAAGGTGGATCGGGACGGAGAAACCCCTCAAGATTCAAGGGTGGCTAATTTGCAGCCTCTTCCTAATCAGGTGGCCATCCGGCTAGAGGTGCATGGCTCCATCTAAAAAGGGCCAGGCAAACCCAGGCTGGGGCCCCATCTCAGCTAGGAGGTAGGCACGCAGCTCCAGGGAATTCCCTTCTGTATGCCTCAGTTTTCCCTTCTGTTAGATCGGGGTGAGATCTGGCCAGGGTAGTTGTGAAAACTGAGTAAGAAGATGGGATGCAAGGGCGATTTCCAACAGTATAAAAATGATTCATACGTGGAAACAGGCCGAGTCTTCATTCAATGTGTTAATCAAAGGATTGCACTCATTATTCGGCGTTTGGGGGGAATTTCAGAGCATAGGAAAAGGTCAGAATTTAAGCCTGAAAATGGTTTCAGAGAACACTTCGCACCCTGTGTGGAACCTGATAAATATTTACGGAGGTCTCATTCAGTCTAAGTCAGGTGCTCGCTTACTGAAGGGTAGGTGAGAGCCGGCGAGGGGTGATTTTATTAACAATATTGAAACAGAACAGCTGCTGCTAGGACTCAGCCGTTTCCTTCCCACCAGGGTCCCTGGGGGCATTGTTAAAAAGTACCCCTGCTTCATCCTCTGAATAAAGGATGGCTTTGGGGCAGCACAGAATGAGGTGCCACCTGGGCTAGGAAAGATGCCCCTGTCCACACCTCCGTGCTTCACCAGGACACCAGCGCAGGGGCCACCCAAACATTTCAGGACACAAAGACAGGGGACCACAGTGCCCGGGGCTACTGCAGATGACACAATTGTGGGTGGGGAAGGAGAGCTGAATCGTAGGGAGGCCTGCTGCCTGTCACTAACGGGATCATTAAAAGCAGTTTCTGACTTTCCTTCCTTTTGGCCCCTTGAACATCTTTACTCAAGGGGCCTGTGCCTGGGGTGGGCCTCAGAGCCCATAGATCAGAGTGGAGGAGCTGTCACGTTTACTTGTCATTTGGTAATTTTCAGTGAATTAGGGATATGGGGTTGCCGTCTGCCATCTGGCCGCGCTCTGGTAACCATGGCAACCACCACCTGCCTGACTTAACACTCTCAAGTCCTGTTCTGAAAGAGCACTACCGAAGGCGTCGGGGTCCTGGGTGCTGGTCAGGCTTTACTGATCACCCTGCCTGTGTCTCCTGCCCCCCCGGGTCTCAGTCTCCTCTGCACAATGGCAGATTTGCTCCATGTGTCTTCAAGGTGGCTCGGTCTTAGGAACAGAATATCACTCCAGGGAAAAATCATCTGAGACTATCCGCACCGGTTAGATTCTGGGGCCTTGGTCAGCATTTCCTGGCGTCTCCACCGTGTGGAGTGAAAGTGTGACTTGTCTGGAGACAAACAGAACTGCCTGTGAATTAACGGCTAAAGAAAGCAGATTGTAAAAAGGAGTGATAGGAACTAGAAGGAAGGAGGCAGGACTGTTGAAATGCCACAGGGCAGAAACAAAGGTTCAAAATGGAAGGGATCTCAACTGTGGCTCCACAGGGCTGACGGGGCCCAGAGAAGGGCAGGGACCTGCCCAAGGTCACTCAGGGGACCAGTAGCAGCTTGGGAAGCACCCACCAGCTCTTTCCTCCATTGGAAGCCCCAGCCAGGAATAGCCAACAGTGACCTTCCCGTGCAATGGAACTGCTTCAGCCCCCTCAATGGGCAGCATATTGGTTTTGTGTTGCCCGGGACAGGAGCCTTCCTGCCCCATCCCCAACAACCCGCTGGGTCTGCTGCACGTACGTGGAATGCTTGGGGGGAAATAATACGAGAATTTACCCAAGGCCTGGAAAAGGTTGTCCCCCACCCCAAGGCTTCCCTGTTGGAGCTAAATTCATTACACCGATGTAGGCATTTAGGTCTAGACTTGGGTCTCCAAGCCTAGGCCAGAACCCCAAGCCAGGCTCCTTGGAACTTGCCGGTCACAAGTTCACTCACCCTCAACTCTCCACTGCTCCCTCCAGGCAGTGTGGATGGGGGCCGCTCTCCAAAACCTAATGGGCCATCAGGGTGCTCCGCTGGGCATCCCTTACCAATGTTTTTGGTCTGTTTTTGTTTGAGTTTAAAAAATTACACATAGAGGTGGGCAAACAAGGCATCCAAACATGACCTTCCTGGGATGTTAATGAACCTTAAGTTTCTCAGTACCCAGCAATCAATACATTTCCATTCCTTTACCCGTGGAATCATATGAGCCTTAGACCCGCAAAACCCAGGTCTGGCCCTGATGGCACCATCATCTTTTCAGAACTTAGGTCCTCAAATGTCTTACCCGTCCTGGGTTGGAGATCCCTCTACTGGGTGGGAATCCCAGCAGGTTCCCAACACTGGGGTTCTCGCCCAGTGATTCCTGAGTCCCTGTCTGGAGCTCCTCCTCCTCCAGCATCTTCACCTTCCCTCCCTCTCCATTCAAAAACCCCACCTGGCCTGGACTGCTGCTGGTCCCAGGGGACTTAAATTCAGTAGGACACCCCCCCCCCACACTCCCAGCTCCCAGTCTGGTGGAGGCCTACATGGCAGGCCTGCACGTAACTGAAGGCCTTTTGGTAGTTAAGTACCAAAAGAGACAGTAGGCTCACCAAAATTCTGACCAGCTCAAGGGCTTGTATCTCCACGAGCTTGGTAAGGAAGGGTGAAGGATATGGATTCCTGTCCCAGTCTCCTTGAAAAACTGCTTCTGAAGGGAAAACTGAGGCTGTCGATCACGGTGCATGCAGGGATCCTCTGCCCCACATTCCAGAGGGCTGGGGTCCCTCTTTCTCCTCCTGCCCCAGCACCGCGGGAGAGAAGCCGGACTCACCAAATTCGCAGGGGCCATCGCGCGCCTTGTGCAGGTGGCCGGGGTGCGGGCGGGGCGCGTGCCGGGCGCGCAGGCGCAGCGCGCAGACGCTGGGGTAGGAGCGGCCGTCGGAGCCGCAGACGGCGCCGCGCTGCGCGCACACACAGAGCCCGGTGCCCTCGGGCGCCACCCCCGCGGCGCGGCTGGCGCACACCAGGCCGGGGCCGCAGCGCGCGCCCGCCCGCCCCCCGCAGCTCGCGCCCTCGGCGCCAAGGCAGCTCACGCAGCAGCCGCACTCGTCGCGCGCCGCGATCCCGGGCGCAGGGCAGCGTGCGGGCGCCGTGCAGCGCTCGGGCCGGCACGGACCGCACTCGGGGTGCCGGCCGCCGGTGGCGCGGAGCCCGAGGCCTGGGGTCAGCGGCGGCAGCAGCAGGAGCAGCAGCAGCGGGAAGAGCGAGGGTGAGCGTGGCATGGTCTGCTTCGGGACGGCAGTGGCGCCTCTGCTTCGCGCTGCGCTTCGCGCGCGCCGCGCCGCCACCCCGCCCGCCTCGCGGCCGCTGATTGGCCGGGCCAACGCCGCGGGGCGCCGCAGCCGGCTGCCGGGGTCCGGGACCCGCGCGGCGGGGTGGGCTCCCGGCCGCCCCGGTTCCGAGCTGGAGGGATGTCCCGAGACCTGCTCTCCTAGACCCAGTGGGCTCTTGGGGAAACAGACCCACTCGGGGCGGGAACTTGCCCAAGGTCGCTGTGGTAGCGCCGTGACGGGCTGTACGGTCTTCAGATCCAAGGCTAGCTCCAAATATTATGTGCCTTGATCCTCCCAGAAGGATGCGCTTTGTAATTTTATTTTGCGTTTAGTAGTTTTCAAAGTTTTATTTTAAAAAGGGAATATACGGCTTAAAATTTCAGAGGTTACAAATGGATGTAATGATGAAAAGAGTTTCCCTTCCACCCTGTGACCCAGTGTCCCAACCCAGCCTCAAGAGGCCGCTCATTATCAGTCTTGTGTCTGCAGAAATTTTGTATGTCCATTAAAGCACTTATGATTGTATAGCTCCTCTCTTTAAACACACACACACACACACACACACACACACACACACACACGGTAGCGTGCCCTGCACATTACTCGGCACTTGGTTTTTCCATCTATGGTATTTTCCATAGTTTCCCTACCTCTTATCATTTCTGAAATCGGGCTTGTACAAACAATGGAGCATTGTTTAATTGTTTTTCTCCCCTGAATGCTACTGAAGCCATGGTTTATTTCTCAGTCAAAAGTGACTTTGGTTGTGATGAGATCTGGCGATCTATTTTGGATTGGCCTCAGACTTTTAAACTTTGCACAGCGTTTAATTGCACAAAAACTGCAATCATTTAGCCAGTTGTTTTGAGTCCTTTTGTTAGTACAAGTAGCGCTGTGATGAATGTCCTGATGCACATCTGCAGTTAGTGGGGAGTGGGTGTTGGAAAGACATGGTAGCATGTAGTCAATTATTTATGCATGTGGCCCCTGCCAGCAGTCAGGCTCTGTGCATCCTATCCCTGGCCCAGCCCTGGCAGGGGACCCACACAGGAACCTCCAGCGGTTCCTGATTGCTGGAGTTGGATGTGTGGCCAAGTGAAGGCATGGGATGGAGGGAGGGACTTGCTGACCCAGCTGTATGGATGGCTTTTCCTGCTCACCCCTTAACTCTCATTTGCCCTGTGGTGTTTTCTTCCTTTTCTGATTCCTTAGAGATGGAGAAGCTTCTTGGATTGGTTTCCATTTCCTTTAACAAAAGTAGCCCAGTGAACTCTGGTTTCCAGAGTGCCAGTTAACACTGTGGGCAACATCTGTTGGCTCCTAAAGATTATAGGGGAAAAAACAAAAAAGATGAGTTCTCCTGGCAGGGAAGGGGGATGAGGCACCTCTGTTGTCTGATAGGTAGTGAGTTCCCATGATGTTCTACCTCCCCCGCTCACTGCTGGCACACATGGGAAGCTAGCTTATACAGCGCTTAGGGTGGGCGCATGCACACTCAGCAGCTGTTGAAGTGAGTATGAATGTCCCAGTCTGAGAAGGTAAGGTGAGGAGAGGTTTCTCCATAAACGGGCCATAGTCTTGAATCTCAAGCTTAACAGGCCATTCATAGAAGAACCTAATCCAGGCTGAGAGAAAACAAAATCCCTGACTCCAGGTCTCTGGTGGGACGTTCCAGAGCAGAGAGAGGGGTGGGTTTTCATGCATGAGGGGTGGTAGTTATGGAGGGACAGACTTCAATTAAATACTGCATAAGAGGGAGCATTGCAAAATAGGGAGCTCTGTAAAGATGGAAATTTAGATGCTGAGCAGCCAAGATATGATAGAAGGTTTGCCCTCTTGCTGTAAACAACTATAAAACCCACACAAATTAATACAACAACCGTGTATAGGTACTGGACTTGGAATGGGGATATCTGGGTGGACTCAGGTGAAGCAGATGAAGTTGAGAATCTTGAGCCTCTGAGTTATTCTGAGCTTCCCCCAGCCCCAGTGGAAGCAGTTTACAGATTATGTCTGAGAGGATTCACTTTCCCTTGTTTAAGGACCCTGCTAAGGGCCGTTACCTTGCAAGGCATACCTTTTCTCTTCAAGACCTACCCCACCTGCCTCTTGTGGCCACTAGACTCACAACTGGCCTTAGAGTTGCATATACTTGAGCAGGGCAAGTACAGAATCTAATCTGAGAAAATATAGCTTCTATACCACAAGAATGTCAAGATTTTGCTAAATTACATTGCAGCAACTTGGGGAGTACGTGCAAGAATGGATTCTAAGGATGGAAGACCAAAGAGAACAGAATATAACTTTTTACTGAGTTGATATGAGTGTACTGAGATTCTGGTTTCAATGTGTTGGTTTGTGTAGCTGGAAGTGCCTGTAGTTTACTTAGCTGTTTAGTGAAACTGAGGCTTAATGATTATCCGCATTTAGTTAATTTGAGATGCCAGTACTTCCCTAGTGTGTTGCAAAGGAGGACATAAAAAAGCTTAGGAGTAGGAGCGCCTGGGTGGCTCAGTTGGTTAAACCGCTGCCTTCAGCTCAGGTCATGATCCCAAGGTCCTGGGAGCGAGCCCCGCATCAGGGCTCCCTGCTCCGCGGGAAGCCTGCTTCTCCCTCTCCCTCTGCCTGCCGCTCCCCCTGCTTGTGCTCTCTCTCTCTCTCTGCCAAATAAATAAAATCTAAAAAAAAAGGCTTAGGGGAGATGTTGAAATAGATTTATTATGGACAGCCTGCACAACCAACCACCCACTACATTCCCCACGGGGGTCCAGAGGATATCTCCTTCCCTGTGACATTGGGAAATTCATTAGCCGGGGGGCGGGGGCACTGCTATCCCTGAAAAGCTCTGTGGGTGCTCTCCTGTGTTGGCCACATACGATGATGAGAGCTGCCCCCACTGAAAGGAGCGCCCTGAGTCCTCTGGGGATGGTGAAATTGCAGAAGACCAGAGGCCAAGTGGTAGCACTTAACTGCCAAAGATGTAGCAGGGTGTCGTTACCATGATAGACAGTAGGATGGAGTGGACCTCCTAGTTTTGACTCACAGGGGCCTTTGGCATTGTCTGGCTGTCCTAATGTCCCTAGGAATGAAATAGTGAGCATCCTACTAAAATGTTACTTGCTGTGTACAATGGAGAAAAACTCCAGGTCTGGTGTCCAAAAGCTGATTTGAATCACCAGGTTCTCTTACACAATTTTCAGACTTAATTAGAAGGAGAGGCCAGGTCCCCTTAAAGAAGGATGTTATACAAATTCTGTAAATCCTCCTCTAAGGCCTTCCCAGAAGGACCTCTGACCCTTTACTAGAGTGGCTCACTGTAGCCCACAGTTAAAGGGGGGCTTGCAGCGCTCAGGGCCCACGATCAGATCACAGTGAACCATGGGGCTCCTGGGTGGTGCCGTCAGTTAAGCATCCAACTCTTGATGGCTCAGGTCATGATCTTGGGGTTGTGAGATTGAGCCCCGTGTCAGGCTCTGCGTTTAGCAGGGAGTCAGCTTGGGATTCTCTCTGTTGTTCTCCCTCTGCCCTTCCCTTGCTCTCTCTCTCAAATAAATAAATAAATAGATCTTTATTAAAAAAATTCACAGTGAATATACACATTTGGCAACTGGCAGAATCCCAACATCAGTTCTGTGACACATGGAGGAAGGGCTATTATAAGAGGCAGGGTCACGTGGAAGCCCCTGGAACTTTCCTTTTTTCCCAGGAGGGTTATCAGCGGCCATCAGTTTCCTCATAAATAATTGAAAGAGAAGTCACCTTGCCATGGGGAGAATTCATTTTCTTAGAAGGCAGCGCAGCCTTGTCTCACTTGAGGAAAGCATTTGCCTCCTTTTAACATGCCCTTGGCTCTACTCCTTTCAAAGTAACAGTGTCATTATTGTGCTAAGGAGTATTTGGTCTCTTCCTGAGCCGGTGTAAACATAAATGTGTACAGTTGACCCTCAACGCAGATTTCAGCTGTGCAGATCCACTTATATACGGATCTCTTTTTTTTAAAAAGATTTTATTTATTTGAGAGAGAGCACAAGCAGGGGGGAGCGGCAGAGGGAGAAGGAGAGGCAGGCTCCGGGCAGAGCAGGGAGCCCCATGTGGGACTCGATCCCAGGACCCCGAGATCATGACCTGAGCTGAAGGCAGACGCTTAACCAAGTGAGCCACCCAGGCGCCCTGCAGATTTCTTTTATAGTACAGTTCCGTAAATGTGTTTTCCTTGTGATTTTTCTTAATTATTAATTTTCATTAATAACATTTTCTTTTCTCTAGCTTACTTTATTGTAAGAATTCAGTATTCAATACATAGGACATATAAAATATGTGTCGGTCAATTGCGTTATCGGTAACAGCATGCTATTAGCAGTACGTTTCGGGGAGTCAAAAGTTATGTGCAGATTTTCAGCGATGCAGATGGTCAGTGCTACCCCCTTCCACATTGTTCAAGGGTCAACTGTAGTTGTTTTTTTCTTATTCTCAGGTGTCTCTCTGTTGGAGGGGAGATGGTTCTCTGTTCATCTTGCTCCATCACGTCCCTAATTTGTAGATTCATTGATTCATTCTTCATTCAGCAAAGCTCTCGGAGGGCCTGATACTGCTTACCAGGCCTCTGCAGGGCACCAGGGGGTTAGATGAGTGAGCTGGGCGCTGTGTGCTCAAGAGGGTGGCCTCAGGAAGGCAGATTGGAAGCAATTTCAGTGCAATAAATGTGACTACAGAAAAGTGCTGGGGGAAAAAGAGTCCACCTCCTGGAAAAAGTGCTCTCTAAACTGAGCCTTGAGGTACCAGTAGGTGCTTGGAAACATGGAATCCAGGCCTGAGCCCCATAGCTCGGGTCTGTGTTGCTGTCTGACAGACTGACACCTTAAAGGTGGGGAGGAAAGGGATAGTACATACCCACCGGGGAACCAGAGGATAAGTCTTTGAGGAAAGTTCCTGCTTCTCTGTTTTTCCCT